ATCCTGTACTCTGGGCCGGGGACCAGGCTGCTGAGCACTTCTGAGAGGGACGTCTCCTGGGCAGGCAGTGACCTACGCCACATGGCCTCCCAGCTCCTTGCTGGTGCTGTGTGGGCTGGGAGGGCAGGGGCTGGGTGATGGGGACTGCAGAGCAGGGCCTGAGATGCTGTGGCATGCTGGGGTGCCTATGGATTCGGGCTTCTCTCAGATGAGAGCTGCACGGGTGGGTGGGGGTTTGGAGGCTGTGGTGGCATCAAAAGAGTAGCCCAGAATCATGAGTCCACTGTCCAAGCTCCCGGGCCTGCAGTCCACACCCCAGAGGGTCCACATCCTCCCCACAGTCAGGCCTGGGTCCTCTCAGTGTGGCACGCCGGCATGTGGGTGCTACAGGCGTCCAGTGTGACATCGGTGGCCTTGCTGAAGGCCGAGGGTGCCCCTGAGGTGGGCTGCGGGGAACCTCTGCTGGAGAGGCAGCTGCGTTCCTGGCACACAGGCAGAGTGGGCCGGGTCTGCGGCTTCTGAGCTGAGCGTGGGGTGCCCTCTGCTGGTGATGGCGAGAAGCTCAGCGCCTTTGTAGGGAGAAGGCTGCCGGCCGTCCAGCCCCGTCAGTGCCCCACAGGGAAGGTGCCCGAGACCCCTCCTCCTTGGCAGGGAGGCCCTTTCTTGTGTCCCTGCCAAGCAGACATCCTGCAGTCCTTCCGTAAGGACCTCAGTGTCCTAGGAGCCTACCCAGACCTGGTCCACGCTGCGGACCCAGCAGTGGGGATTACCCGGCTTCAGCACTCCAGCTCTGCCTGACGTTTCTCCAGGTGCACATGCTGTTTCTTGCTTCCTGTGGGTGCCGTCACCAGGCGGCCGTCTGCCCTCGGCAGGCGGGGTGTGGGTGAGTGCCTGTGAGTCACGGCCTTGGCACGCCGGCAACCTTCCTAGCCTTCCACTTATGGGCACCAGCGGCCCCTGCCTAAGTCATGGTTCCCCCTCACCCGAGCCGGCTGGCTGTCGTGAGCCAAGCTGCTTATGATGGTGACATGCAGCCTCCACCCCTGAGAGTGTCGGAGGCCTGGCCCAGACTGTACATGCTAATGGGGAGCTCTGCTGCCTCCGGCCCCAGAGTGTGGGAGAGTTCAGAGAGACAGAGGCTCCCTGAGAAGAACCTCAGCCTGCAGGTGACAGCAGGGCGAGGCGCCTGGTCTGGCCCCAGAACCAGCCTGGCTCACCCAGAGCACAGGACCTCATCACTTCTTGAGATGGGACAGGTGCAGCTCCTGTGGGGAGACACTGAATTTTCACACCCTCTGTTGCAGGTGACTCCCCTGCAGACCCTCTGGCTCTCAGCACAGGGCGGGGGTCGTCCTCCCTGTGAGCTTTCCCTGAGACCAGGGGGGCTGGGTGCCCGCTAAACACTTGGTCTTTCTCCCATGAGGTTGTGGGCTCCTGAGTGTAGAGACCTGTGAATGCTGCCGCTTGCTCTCTGCTGCCTGGGACTGAGTGTGGGCCTCGCTGAAGCCCAGTTTTCTTATTAAGGACCTGCCTCCAGGCTGTTGTAGGGATTGGATCAAATAATTCAGGCGATGTCCTCATGCAGTGCCCTGGTCCCAGCATGGGGAAGGCTGCTGCGACAGCCTCTCATCCTGTCCCCATGCCCTCCGCATAGTGCCCAACCCTGTGAGGTACCAGGCAGGGGTGACTTACCTAGACATGCCCATTCAGCAGCCTCTTGAGCAAGAAGGACCAACCCTTGCCTTTCAGATGCAGACCAAGAGGCAGAAAGGCGCACGGCTTATTAGCAGCCTGTGCCCCTGCCCTGAGCTCCCCACCTGCGCTCCACTTTAACCCTGCTCTCGGGCTGCGGGTGTCCAGGCAGGTGTCAGAGGTGTGGCCCCCGCACACCGGGGACCCTGCCCATCCTGTCTAGTTGGGAGGACTAGGAGTTCCGGGCATGGGGCCCCGGGTTCCTGCTGCCCTCAGAACCAGGCCCGACCCTTTGCCGTGACCTCGAGGGCTGCCACTTCCAGAGTGCACTGGGCCCATCTCCACCCACAGACCACACTGAACCTCCAGTGCCAAGCTCTTCCCACCACAGGGCCTATGCCTGACATGTCCCTCTACAGAAATACCTGCTCCTGGCAAGGCTGGCTTCTTGCCAATTCTAGATCTCCACCTGCCACCCCAGAGAGGCACTGGCTGCCCTGTTTAAAGTGGGTCCTCCCATCACCCATCTTCACAGCAGACCGTTTGCTTGGCTGTGTGCCCCTCCAGACCCACAGCCATTACCTCCCCCTCCCCCATCCTCTCACCCTCTTCCAAAGGCTGAGCACACAGGAGGGACCGGGAAATTTGTTGAACAGAGAAGTTACACATAAGCCCTGATCTGTCAGCAGGACTGTGAGATGAACAAAACGTTCTGGAAAGTGTGAGGGGCAGATGTGGAAGGAGTGAAATCTTCCCAGAGAGAATGTCTCTGGGTCAACCTGCTCCTGCTGGGCTGGGAGGGCCGAACACACCCCACCCATCACTCCAGGCTGGCCCTGACCCCAGCCTTCCCTGTGCCCGCAGCACCGGCAGCTGCTAAAGGACAGCTTCATGGTGGAGCTGGTGGAGGGGGCCCGCAAGCTGCGCCATGTCTTCCTCTTCACCGACCTGCTTCTCTGCACCAAGCTCAAGAAGCAGAGCGGAGGGTGAGTAACGATGTGGTCCCATCCCGGCGGTGACCCCCATCTGTCCTGACGCTCCAGGGTGTGGAGGGTCCGTCCTGGCGGAGGCCAGCAGTGATATAGCTAGGTGCTCTTTTTACCTTCCGTTGCTACTTGGGCACAATGCCAGGCTCCAGGTTAAAGATTGTCACTAGCAAGAGATGTCATGGGGCATCCTGGGGACCAGCTTGGACTCCTGTAGCGAGGGGTAAACCCAACCATGACTTCCAGGACCGTTGCAGAAAGGCCACCTCCGGACCGTTTGAGGTCAGGGCTGCGGGCAGTGCTGGGTGGTGGCTTCTGAGCTATTCTCAGCGTAGCCCTGCACACACTCCCCTCCTCCCTCCGGGGATTGGGTTCACCCAGGTCGCACCAGGTTGGAGTGGAGCAAAGAAGGCCACACCGGGAAGACCAGCACAGGCTCTTCCCCACATCCTGCCCTGCTGAGTGGGTTTAATCAGTCAACTCAGAGGAGAGCCTTAGTTCCCCCATCTGTCAGGCGAGGGGATGACGCCAGCTTTATCTACAGTCGTTGAAACTCCTACAGCCCTGGGGGTGGACTTCAGTCCTGTCCTGTCACCGTGAAGCCTTGACGTGCTCCCACATGAGCCCTCCACCTTAGGGTCAGCATAGGATAAGATGCATCTAGACTCCTGAGATGCCTGGGGCCTGGGGTCACATGTTCAGAGTGTCTGTTCCCAGGAATCACTGAGGCTGAGGCTGGGGCCACCAGCGCCTGCCAGTGGCTTCATCCCAGTCGGTTACATGGAACACGGGCTGGGTTTAGGTCGGGTAAACCATGTGTGGTCAGGAACACGGCTCTTGGGTTCTTGACAGCAGTGACATCAGCCGTGGAAGGTAGTTGGTGCATGTCAGTGTTCTTCTC